ACTTCACGCGACTTTCAGAAGAGAACTACAAAGTTCTTGAAACAACCAATAGAAACTAAAGTTTGGAGAACAAGAAACTTAAACAGGATCTTTGTGGGAGATCCAGACCAAGGCCAGTAGACCAACCCAAACATGACCATCGATGGGTATTGTTCGGAGTAGTTTCGATAAACTAAGATAAACAACTTGAAGTCATAACACTCTCCATGGTGGCAGTCGGGCCCTAGAATCACGAGAGTAACGTGGTAGCTATAAAACGATAAACAGTTGATGATCACGAACCAAACATACTAAATTCTGTAAGAATTATTGAGCTTTATAACATACCCACTTCTTAGATTAAGCATCGTCCCTTGTTTAGGCCAGTTTCGCTACTTGTCGAGTTCGCTATGTTCGAGTTCGCCACTAGCCTCGATTTCCGCCGCTCACTCGCGTCCGGTTTTTGCGCGCCGGCTCGTTTCGCAATCAGCGGCTGGAAATCGAGCTACCTTTTCGTTACGACCTCGAACGTCTGAGAATCAGGCTAGTTACTCTCAGGCCGAGTTCGCCGCCTAGGGCTAAATTAGATACATTCCAGAATTTTTTTTGAGAATTTTAGACACTGAAAAGAATTTTAGAAAATCTCGGGAATTTTAGACGAGTAAAATTTAGTAGAATTTTCGAGCAATATTAGCTTCCAGCAGGAGGTGATATTTATAGTAGCTATGTACGAGCGTATAAAGTTATCGAATGCAGATATATTATATAGAAATACATGTTAGTATAAGTAATCGAATGAATGCTCGTGCAATTAAGGATTTGCATAACGAGTGATATTTGAAAATTCTCTCAAAATTGCACGAACCTTTAGGCGAGTACAACTGGCCATTATTATATGACTGAGAAAATTACTTCATTGTGATTGGTTGAGAGCAGGCCTATCTAATTCTTAACTCTTTGTTAATTCTTATTTAATTTGCACTGAGTAAATGAGTAATTGAAAATTTACACTACCCGTGATATTTGAAAATTCTTTCAAATTACACTCGCCAAAGGCTCGCACAATTTTGAGAGAATTTTCAAATATCACTCGTAGTGGGATTAGTCGTATCTATAACGAAATTCTCGATCGTGATTGGTTCTCCGCGCGCCTATTTGCCACGTAATCGGCGCGCAATCACGTGGCTGTCCAATTACAGGTATCCACTTTGAACTTTTTGTTATTGGACACCTGTAATTGGATACCCACGTGATTTGAACGTCAATTGCGCGCGCTTTAATGGCTTTCTTTGCGATGTTTCCTATAGTTTTCAAAACTTATGAAACGCGCTACATACGTTCTCGGTCAAAAGAAGTTCTCAAAAGACATTTTTAATTCTGAAATTGTTTATAGATACGATTAATTAGTAATTGGACTTCGTGTCGTACAATTCAGGGAGTAATCGTACTTGTATTTCAAATCNTTCTCTAAAAATTAAACCATTAAATAAATGTTACTAAACATAAGAAGATCCATTGTTCTCACCGTCTGCAACTCTTAAAAATCGCGCCACATTTTTCTTACAGGAATTCCTAGCTAGCTTTAACCTAGGTAATTTATTCAGTGTCCTAACTCCTCCAAATTCAATTTTTCCCGCGCATACGATAAGAATCAGATCTTCTGTAAGGGGCTAACTTCTCAGTAACGAGAGGTATCGAGACTCTGAAGCTTAAAATTTAATCTTCTGGACTTCCACATCTTCCACCACTTCAAGTTTTTCTGCATCTGCTTTATCAACTAATTACAACTTTACAATGCACCCACTTTTATGCTAACTCTAGCTACGCCCGGGACTCAAGCGAAGACTAAACCAGGTGGTACAAAACAAAGTACTCGGATGTAAACCCTAAACGAACAAAGCTGACTTGATAAAGCAAGCAGAGATTAACGAATTGAAAACTAGAAAAACAGAATAATCTTTAGCATTAGCTAACCTGGGATCTAGCAAGGGGAGGTAGAAGCCAAGGTCGTAAGAACGACAAAAACATGTATACAGGTTAACGTCCGAAAACAAAGTTCTAGAAGAAACGATTCCAAGGAAAACGGAAGAGGCGTTCAAGAATTGAGTGTTCAACATATGTGAGTTAACCTTGGCTCGCCAAAACTAAGCTTTTTCAAAAACATAATTTCAAACTATTTGGCTCCGCAACACTTCGTTGGGCACAACATGTCTTGCTCGACTCATTCTTTCTCGCATGCGCAACTAATAGCCTGCTTGTAGTCATGTGCTATTTCCGTCGTCACTTTTTTTTGTGTTAAACAATGGAAATAGCAGACTGTAATTGTAAGTCGTTAGAGTCGATTAGCCTCTAGCCGGTTAGCCCTTAATCAGAGGTTCATAAGCCCACACACCCTTTAATTCACCCTTAAAGAACGAGAAATAGACAGTGTTTTGGACTTCCGGTGGGGGCTAATCGACTTCTGGTTGGGGGCTAAACAGTTAGGGCCTTATCGACTTGGTCGCCAAACGACCGGATACTGCAAAATGTCTGCTAGCAGGCTGGTGACAAAAGAGTGCAACTCTCAATTGATACGCGTCCCAGAAGATGATCGCTGTAGCTCCCCTATTGTAACTCTTCGTCATCTTTGACCTTCTTCTTTGCCAGCTTAATATTTAGATTGGGGTCAGCTTATCGGCAATATGCAGTTTTTCACTATACTGCATATTGCTCGAGCTACACAGCTAATCAGCTGCACAAGTAACAAACTTGATCCTGTTGTTGGAGGGAACAACTTAACTTGTAATACCAGAAATTGGCTGATCAACACCTTTCGTCAGTTTTAGCGAGAAATACATATTCTTTGCGGGAATTTTCTATTTCAAACTGTATCAGTCAGGAACGGGTATTCAGACAGCAGGGGATTCGTTGTTCCCCCTCCCCCACCCTACTGCGCATGTCATTCAATATCTGATGGGCCTGTTTCTTAGTCATGGAATTGCAACTTGAGATTAATTTTTGTGTCTATTTTGTGTTCTAGGGTGTGGTGGAGGTTTGGGAAGTCGAAATAGTGGCTCTTGTGTAGACACGAGTTTCTGATCAATCTGAATTCTTAGTAAAACTGTTTCAAAATAAGAAACTTACCACTTGAGGAGGTGATTGGAGGTAATAATTCCAGTAGATATTTCAGCAATTTTCCAACTCCTTGCTTGTCTGGTAAGTTCAGAATAGTGTGGAGCACATCAGCACTATCAATGACCTCAAGCATCCTTGCCCTTACAATGTGATCAGCAAGGTCATCCTTTAACTTTGATTGGTCAAGTAATATATGTAGATACTCTGAAACTGTGTCCTGCTTCTCTAGTATCGACAAAACATTCCATGTTGCAGGACACTTGAGCAGTTTTCCCAGGCCGTCTAAGGCTACCTGTTACCAGAAATGAAATATTGAAACAGGTTTCTTTCTTCATCTCAAACAAAAAATGCAAGCACGTTCAGAGTCAGGGAATGTGCCCCAAGAGGCTTTCGAAGATAATCACAAAGGTCAAATAACGTTAACTACTCAATCCTAATTTAATAGCAAGAATGTTTTAAAAAATGTCTGGTCATTTGATATTTAAAAGATTTATCTGCAGAAATACTTCTTTTTTATAAAATACCTTAATAACATGTAGGTGCCTTCAGCCTTGAGTTAATCAACTGCTCCCATAAAAAAAATAATAATTACCAGGAAATTTCTGATAAAAACTCACTTTCTAGATGTGGCTTTAAGGCAGTGTAAATAAAGATGCACAAAAATAGAGCTTCTGTTTAGAATCTGGAACACCTTCATTCTAACAATTTAAATGAACATGGATTTCATTAAGGGCCAGGGACTGGGCAAACTGACTGGCTGTGAAGATGATCTTGCCCATCTGGTTTGACAATCCAAAAGAAAGTTCTTCTTGTAGGGAAGTTCAGTTCAAAAGTTTTGCCCGCCTGTGAAAACCAGTAGCCCTCTCATTGACAACATTAATGAAACCCCTGAATGAATCTAAGAGTATGTAACTTTGGTATTAAATAGCCCTTTTCAAGGTAAATTTTTCTCATTTGCATTACAATGTAATCCGACATGGCTGTGAGGCAATTTCAGGCTAAAACTACAAAATAGCCCGAAATTGCCTCACATACATGCTAGATTTTATTGTAATGCAAATGAGCAAAGGTAACCATGAAAAGGGCTCTTATACCTGATAAAGAAATGCACTTGTACACTTGACATGATTGCTCAGAATGTTCAGAAGAGTTCGCAAGGATAAGAGAACAAACTTTACTGCAACGAGAGGAAGGAGAGCTGCCCATGAAATGGTGATTGAACAGAGTGAAGAACAGGCTATAACCTGACAAAGATGAAACCTGTGTAAGAAATAAAAATCAAATCAGTCATGCTTTCATGGGTAACAAGAACCCACAATAGTCCATCCTTGCCAAAATTTCTCACACACTTTTGCAAGTGGCTCGAGGAGACAGTTGAAATTCAGGTTACCATAGTCCTGTAGTGTGAAGTAATGAGAAAGATTGGGACTATAGAAGCCCTGGCTGGTTTATTAAGACAAACTGTGACCTATCAGATTGAGTCTGTTACTGGTAGATGCATGTAGGCAGTGATTGTAACTGATGATGTGATTTGACTTCTCTTTCTATCCAACTGTAGCAATTTTACACTCATAATCAGAGTGAATTGCTTGGCAATTTTTTTACCTGCCTTGGTTTTCAGTCACACATCATCTATCCTGAAGGATCATCAAGGACAATTACATATGACTGGACCATTTTTTCTTACAACAAAGTGATCTCATCCAATTAATATCACATTCATAGTACTTTGGGGAAGTCAACCTACTTGTTACTTTGGGGAAAATGAAAGTTATTGCACTAACCTTGTATCTTCGTGAGACTCCTCATAAGTGGTCTGAAGATTCTTGCATATTATTGTGACTACATGATCAGTGCGGACAAAAAATAATAGAAAAGTGAGTAGGTGAAATTGGAAAAAAGATCTGTGGAAGTTGTAGCCCCAGAAGGCCTGAAGACATCTACAAAGTGCTCAAACAAAGGAGAATACAGTGATTTTATCTGTTTTACACGACATCTATACCAACTCTCCTGGATTAGCTGGGAGTCTCCCAGATGCTTACTATATTGCTGTGTCTCCTGTACAGGTCACCAAATCGCTTGGAAATGAAGGGAA